GAACTCGAAGAAACCATTCTGAACAAGGTAACCCAATCACAAAAAGACAAACATGATATGTACTCACTCATATGTGGCTCTGCTTTATGATACACAGTAGAGACCATGCTTTATCAGAGCTGTTTTTAATGATGTTGCTCAGAATGGTCTCCTCCCAGATGATGACTGAGAAACTAATTTAAAAAAAAAAATGGTGCCAAGTACCACAAGAGTAACAGAACTGTGCTGTTTTCTGGGATTTTGTTTTTACTTTTTTGTTGTTGTTGTTTGTTTGTTTTTTTGTTTTTGTTTGTTTTTTGTTTTTCTAAAATGGAGTGTGCAGGATGTCTCTACAATTTTGTTCAAATGACTGCAGAACCTGGAAAAGCTGTTGCTGCTATTGATGCATAACATATTGCCATTATTGCTCTTTATATATAAATATATATATATATGCTAATTGAAACTCAAATATGTGATGAATCCAAGGTTTTTCAGTGAGTGCTCACCTGAGCATGCAAATTTGATTTCATCTTTAATAAATAGTAAAGTTATATGCTTGCCAAAAAAAAATAAGTGACACACTGGAAGACAAATATCACACAATTTCAATTTTCTGTGTAACCTAGAAATGATGAACTTATGGGAACAGAGAGCAGAACTGTGGCTATTAGGCTTCAATGTGGTTCTTTTGACAATGGGGAAACGATTGGTTTAAGGATATAAAACTGCAGTTGGACAAGAGGCATGGACTCTGTAAAGTCTTGAGGTCTACTGAGAGCATGATAAATATGCTTGATAACAATGTGCTATATTTTAAAAGTTGTGAGATAGTATACTTTAAGTGTTCTCAAAACAAAAATGATGAATATGTTTGATATAACATGTTAATTGGTTTAATTTAGCCATGCCATTGTGAACATACTGTATTCTGTATCATAATTGTGCATGACTTTATTTATGAGCTAAATAAATGAATGAAAAAAATAAAGAAAAAAGAAAAAATTTCTATAACAAAGAATTCTTAACTACTAAAAACATGTTTAAAATCAAAGAGCCATGTAATTCTGAATGCTTTCTCTTTTTTTTCTTTAAAACTGGGTGCCAAGAAGCTGAGGCCAAAAGTAGAGCAACTCATTGTGAATGTACTGGCTTCCAAGAGCCTGTTTGCAGGTCACTAAACTGGAACTTGGAATACATTCTTCCATTGAAACAATGTGACAAACGGTCCTTCTTTCCCAGGCCTTCCTACCCAGCCTGGTAAGTCCGTTTAAAAGAAAAGTGAACATTAGATACTTTAAAACAGACAAACACAAAAAACTCTCAGCAAAAGAATTGGTACATATGTCCTCCTCTTGTCCAATTCTTACATCTTCTCCCCATATTCCTATGTAAGCCTGATAAACTTGCTGCTCCCAAAAAGTAAGTCTCCCAAGACAGCAGCATTAAATTAAGCTGCATTTCCCATGGCTATAAGCCACTCTACCCGCTCTAAAATATTTTGCTACTGATATTACATTACAAAATCAGCATTTGTACTTATTATTCTTAAGACTTTGGGGACTAGGACTGTGAGGACCTGGGTTTAACCCCCAGCACCACACTTAAAAAAAAAAAAAAAAGAGTTCTGATTATAGTTTGGTATGGTGGGAATGCTCTTAGGTCCCTGAAATGACAATAGGATGGAGTCTGTGTGTGCAAATGCATTCACCCCCTCCTTCCTGGAAAGCACCAGTTTAGGCACAGAGAATACAATACAACATCTTGTAGGGAAAACAATTAAACTGCAAGAATGACAAGTGATGACCAGAAACCCTAATTACCTTTAAGGAATGGAATGAGATTAGGGGAGGTGACCTTGTCAAGAAGGCAAGAGAGGCTCAAACAGAAAAAAGGACTGAAGTGGAGAAGACCAGAACAGCCATCTTTAAAGAAGGGATTGGGAGTACATCTCTATCCTGGTGTCAATGGGGAAAGCCTGAAGTAAGCAGGTGAGTGGTGGGTTCAGCATGGAGCCTGGAAAAATGAGCATCTGAAGTTATGGCTATCCCCTGACCAAGCTGAACCAGGAGAGTTTGTAAGGCAAGTAAGAGGTCACCAGGTCTGTGAACTCCAAGCCATGCAGGACTCCATCATCCTTCCTCCCACATGCCCTGTGGACCAAATCCTAGTGGAAGATGGAAAGAGTTTCTCTGCCTTATTCCACTTGGTACCCTTCTTCATGTGCTGCATCCCATCACATACCCCCATCAACCCTCACTGGAAAAGCAGAGGAATCAAGCATTGGCAGCCAGGGGATAGAGACACCCGAGGATGGATGCAAAGAACAAAGCATGAAGGGAGAAATATAAACCCAATGGCCTACTGGGCCTAAGCCTGGAATCCCAGCTCCTCAGGAGGCTGTAGCAGGGAGATCACAGGTCCAAACCCAGCGTGAAGAGCTGAGTGAAGCCCTCTCTCAATAGGAACATGTAAGAAGAGTGTTGGGGATGTAATTCAATGGTACAGCACATGCCTAACACTTAGGAGGCCCTCTGGGTCCAATCACAGGTACAATTAATCAATAAAATGAACTGCCTAGTTAAGGTGGAGAAGTCCAAACCAAACACGTTGAGAGCTTGTTTGGAGGTGTGTGCAGCTACTCATATACCCTTGACAAAGACCGGCCCTCCTCCATGAGGGAAGGTCTTCTTTTTTACCAACGACACAGCTTTGGAAGGGATGCAGTCGGGCTGGTAAGGGAGGAAGAGACACCTGCCTAGCCATCTGGATCAACCAAATCATCCCTGGCAATCAATGGGCTGACAGATATCCCAACCTGACTGCCCTCATAACTAAACACACTGGGAGACTCTTTAGTGGAATGATCTCTAAGCAACGAATCAAAACCAAACAAAACCTGGCTTCTCTGCTAGCAGAAGTCATGTGTCTTCAGGGAAGTCACTCCAGCTGTCTACCATTTGGTCTTCTCCTCAATGCCTGGCTTCCATCTGGCTAAAGCATCAGAGCATCACTTCCCGCTCTCACCTAATGTCCATGTGTACACAGTCCTAAAGCAGGAGGAAACCAACGAAAACAACAGACAAGCATCCAAAGATGATTCACAGTAGCTCATATTCTAAGCTGTATGTCACTGAAACACTTCCAAGGACCACCTTACTGCTGGTAAAACCAGAACATGAATCCAAGGTCATTTTTCTCTCCTTATTGTATCTTCTATCTGGTTAATCTCTATCTCAAAGATGGGTGTTTCCCCAGACTACCCAACAAAACTTAGTTGGTTTTTCTCTGATGTTTATTTATTTGACTTAAAATTCTTTTTTTTCAACTTTTTTTTTATTTGAATTAGAAACAGGATTGATTTACATGACAATCCCAGTTCGCTTCTCCCACCTGTCCTCCCCTACCACCACCACCCTCCATCTAAAACCCTACCTATCACATATCCTTTCTGCTCCCCCTGGAGGGCTGGGATTATAGCTTAGTGGTAGAGCACATACCTAGCAAACATACGACCCAAGGTTTGATCCTCAGCAACACTAGAAGAGTGCCTAGTCTAGTGGTTCTCAACCTTCCTAATGCCGTGACCTTTTAATACAGTCCCTCATGCTGTGGTGACCTCCAACCATAAAATTACTTTCATTGCTACTTTGTAACTGTAATTTTGCTAGTTATGGATCATAATGTAAATATCTGTGTTTTCTAACGGTCTTAGGCTATCCCCGTGAAACGGTCATTTGACTCCCAAAGAGGTTGAAACCCCCAGGTTGAGAACCACTGGCCTAGTCAAGGAGAGTATACTAGACTCACAATGAGATTTAGATCTGGCCCTGACCTTAGGCTAGGATGTAAAGGCAGTCTTGTGAAGTATTCTTCCCAGGGGCTTTCATGCCCATGTCACTGCATTAGCTTCAGTTAGATACAGTATTTTTTTCTGTCTTAAAAATATCTCAGTATAAGATCATTGGCTGGTCCCATTTTCTACTACTTATACAACAATGGTTTTTTTAGATTTTAATAGATTTATACTGAGTTTGACATGCAGTCTTAAATTGAAACAGGTTGAGTACCCCTAATTCAAAAACATAAAATCTAAAATGCTCCACAAATCCAAACTACAATGCAAGGTGAAAATTTTCACATCTGATATCATCTGGTTGTAGCCAAGACCCAGAAGCACTAGAAACCATACATTAAATTACCTTCAGAATATGTGAAGAAGGTAAGTATGGAAAACAAATGTTCCTGTTTAGACTTGGATCTCACCCCAATATTCATCATATACATACAAATACCCTACTAGTCCAAATCCGAACTAGTCTACAATCATGGTCATTGGCATTTTGAGCAAGGGATACTCAACCTACATAGCAATGAAGAATGTTTAAAGAAACAACACTGCAATGATCCCCATCATATGAAGGCCTCTGAAGCAAGAAGCTCCATTTCCCATTCCCCCAGAGGCTTCTGAGTTCTGTTTTCCCATGGGCTCACAGTTTCTGCTTCTAAAGGCCACCTCCAATACACTGAACGAGACTCTGGGGATCACCTTGATATGGACCTTCGAGTATGGCTTTTAGATCAACCAAATCAACCCTGGAGATCAGTGGCTGACAGATACCACAGTCTGATAACCCTCCTACCTGAACACATTGGGTGACTCTAACGAAATGATCTCTAAGCAACAAATCAAAACAACAACAACAACAAAAAAAAAAAATCTGGTTTCTCATCTAGTCACAAGATATGTGTTTTCAGGGAAGTCAATGACTTCTGTGTACTTGGTCTCCAAAGGTCTGGCTTCCACCTGTCCATGTTATCATTAAATGAGATTATTCAAATAATTATTCTTTCAAAACTATTATGTAAACAACTTTCTATAACTTAAATGGAAACTTTCCCAACATGGTCCTACTAAAATGTTATCAAAAGATTACTAGAATCTCAAAGCAAGTGGGCTGACAAACATTTAATATATTTTAAGGATAGTTTAGAATAAAACTTAGAATAGAAGCTATCACCTTTTTGTTGGTAATCGGAACAGACAAGAAATAGTTGGGCTGATAATTTTTCGTGGCTTTTTTCCTCTTCTTTATGTGATCATTCTTGATGCCTTCTTTTTCTTTGCTCCTCTTTGAATTCATTTGAGGTACATCAGTGACTAGAGGAAAACAAAGTGAGAAAGTGTCTCACACATTTAAACAAAGATAGCCTAGTTTTAAAAAAGGAAGAAGTCATGCAGTATATGTAATAAGCAGCAATGGTGTGTTACTGTCATTTTCAAATCTAAAGCAAGAGTCAGCAAGAACACCAATAAAGAACATCATTGTAAATGCTTTAAGGTTTGCAGACCATAGGTCTGTGTTTCAGCTACCTTATTCTGACAAAACAAATGGAAGGATATAGCTGTGTCCTGATAAAACTTTATTTACAAAAGGAGGTCAGGTAGATTTATGCCTTAGGGCAACACACACAAGCATTCTCTACCACATGCCAAAGGTTTTTTTTTCCTCATTGTTTTTGCTTTTTTTTAAAAAATTTTTATTAATTTATTTTTTACATTCCAATCCCAGTTCCCTCTCCCTCCTCCCCTCCCACTCTCTCTATTTCCCCCTCTCCTCTCATCTGCTCCATGGAGAGGGTTAGGTCTCCCATAGGAAGTCTTTTTTGTTTTGTTTTGTTTTGTTTTTTGAGGAAGGGTCTTGCTATGTAAACCAATTCCCCTTCCTTAGCCCCTCAAGTTGAGGGCTATGAGCATGAGCCATTATGTCTGACTTCACGCTCCCTCTATACTAAGAAAGTAGATGGCTGGTTGGTTGGTTGGTTTGTGTTTGCTTATTTCATCATTTCCTGGGAACCTAACTTCCTCTGCTAGCCCACTTCCTCCTATCACAGTGCCCCACCCCTTCCCAGCAGCACTGAAAACTGAATACTCAGGCCACTGTGGATATTCATGATCTGAATTGTAGCAAGTAGATCATGTCAGACAGGCTCTAATGTCAATTAAAAAATCTTCCATTGGCTGAAGAGGAAACAATGTGAGCATCAAACTGACTAACAAATTTAGTAGTGTGAATTTTATCAGATACGATCAAATCCATCAGTTCATAATGATTCCAAAAAGAAAAAAATTAAGAACAGAATTCGTTACCTCTGGAGAAGTCAAAGAACCGTTATTCTAAAAAATAACCACTCATGTGTACATGGTACGGTTTTACACCCCGGTAGTCTGCTTTGGGTTTTCTCCCTCTAATCCAGTGCCCTGTTGATACAATCAGCCTGTGACACTGTAAGCCACTGTCACATTTTCTCTTCTTTAGAGTCTTCTTGTTATTACCAAGTTCATCTGTAGAACCAAAACACTCTATCTCTCTCTGCTTTCTCACTCCCTCACTTCATTTTCCTTCCAACTCTGGGAACACAGGCTGTGTTCTGAAGGACAATTTGCTGTTATTCCATTTACTTGCTTTCACATGAAAAGATAAAAAATAAATATTGATATAATCATCTAGCTTACTGATAAAATAGATGGCTTAAAGTCACAAAATGCAAACAACTTTGGCCGTCTGCCCTGGATCTCTCAGCAGATTATTTATAGTAATTTTACTGGTTAGCAAAAAGTCATCCGTAGAAGTACAGCTTGTAAACTCATAAACTTAATTTATTATACTTGTTAATTTTTATAATGACTTCAGTAGCCATTTAATGTGCACTGATAAACTTGATGTCATTGACAAGGGCTGTTACTTTCTCAACTGCATATATTTTTTTTTCACTAAAGCACTACGTGTCAAGTTATGTAAATTATCTAATTTTTCCTCAATTCTATTTACTTATTTAGAACTACAAAGGAATGAATTAGAAGAGAAATTAATTTAATTTAATTAAGTACTCCATCTGGTATTGTGGGTTGATTGTTTCCACACTTGCTCTTCATTAAAATACTGGGAATAAATGAGAGTTTGTTTTGATATTTCCTTTCTTGTTATCTAAGCAGATAAAAGTCTTTCAAGTAGCCTGGAGTGGCTATGCTCACCTGCAATTCCAGCAGTTGGGAAGACTGAGGCAGGAAGTTTACTGAGTTCAAAGCCAACCTGGGCTACACATGGAGTCACTATCTTTAAAACAAAAATCACCTAATGATATCACAACCATCTGCAGTATTCTCTTTGATGGTTGAACAAACAAAAAATAACAGCCTAATGGGTGGGTGCCCCCTTAACATCCACACCATCATGACCCATTAGAGTGTGCTAAGGGACTGCTCCTGCAGAACCGTAACTGTAAGGTCTCCATGACTCAGGGCAACAGAAGGATTTCTGAGAGGAGTTTGGTGAGGGTCCAGTGACGATGGTGTGCCAGAGGACTTGAATGAGACCAATGACTCATTGCAATGAAGATTTCGTGGTTGGGGCTGATTGGACAAAAGGGTATAGTGTGTGGCACACTGCAGCTCCTGATGCCACTAGGATGAATGAAGAGGTGTTGGAAAGAAAGAGGCTCTGTGTGTGTGTGTGTGTGTGTGTGTGTGTGTGTGTGTGTGTGTGTGTGTGTTGTTCTGTTTTTATTTTGGGGGAGTTTTTTGGGAGGGTATGCTATGGGGTGGGGGGAGGATATGGACAAACTGGGAAATAAGTAGGAATGGATGGGATGCATGATGTGAAATTCCAAAGAATCGATAAAGAATTATGTTATAAAAAATAAATAGCCTATTCTCGGAACATATCCATGCATTATTCATGACACAGTACTATATACAGCATTTGCCTTCCCAATTAATAATATAAAGGACGCAGAATACAACTTACCTCTTTTAACTGACACAGAATAATCACTGATATCTGTATATATACAAAAATTTTAGATGAATTATTTTATGTTTTAAATTTTCAAAAATATAACTTAACCACCAGTCGGTGGTGGTGCACACCTTTAATCCCAGAACTTGGGAGGCAGAGGCAGGTGAGTCTCTGTGAGTTTGAGACCAGCCTGGACTACAAGAGCTAGCTCCATGACAGCCTCCAAAGCCACAGAGAAACCCTGTCTCGAACCCCTCAAATAGATATAGATATACATATATACAGATATATAGATATATAGATACATATAACTTAATTAGTTAATAGATAATAAGATAGTAATTTCCTCTATCTCAAAAATCTCCAAAAGTTTTATCAGAACTCAGCATGAGGAAGCCCGGCACAGTGATGCATGCTTATGTTCTGAGGCTTACAAGAGCAAGCAGATCAGAGGTTCGAGGTCAGCTTCAGCTACATAATGATTTTAAAGCCACTCTGAGCTCCAAGAGACTTAGTCTTACAATATACACACCTATAAATAAAAGGAATTTTGAGGGCATAAAATAAGGATTAGTAATTTCTATAGAACTGAATTTCACATGTAACTAGAAACCAATTCTTGAATATTTTCTTTTGAATCTTGACTTAAATGTGGCTTAGGGCTGGAGCAACAGTTCAACAGGTAAGGTTGCTAAACAGTAAGCCTAATGATCTGAGTTCAATTCCCAGGACCTATGCAGCAGAGAGAGAGTACAGTTTCCCTCAAGTTGTCCTCTGACCTCCACATGTGTGTTTTGGCATGCACACACTCATACATATACCTATCTACCTACTTACATGCACACATACCCACACACAAAAATATAATTTTTTAAAAGATTTTATTTATTTATTATGTATACAACATTCTGCTTCCATGTATATCTACACACCAGAAGAAGGCACCAGATCTCATAACGGATGGTTGTGAGCCACCATGTGGTTGCTGGGAATTGAACTCAGGACCTCTGGAAGAGCAGTCAGTGTGCTTAACCTCTGAACCATCTCTCCAGCCCCCAAAAATACAATTTTTAAAATGTTGCTTGATTGTTTGGAATTGACAATATCATATAACTAGAATCAGTGAAACTAAAGCTCTCGCTCCCACATCTCCTGTGGGAAGCAGGCCGGGCTATTCTATCAGCAAAATGACTCTCCCATGCTAACTCCCACTGTCAGAGGCAAAGAACAGCAACACCAAACATTTTCTGGATGCTTCCTGGGTTTGTAGCCAATTGAGCCACAATGTGCTTCTCTCATCAAGAAAAGAAACCCAAAAGTCCTGATGCCCTCCTCACTCAAGCTAGATTTGTCTGCGGGGAACATGCCTAATCACCAGCCAAATGTGTGACTAGGCTGCTCTAACTCTTCACCATGCATGAGACTTTCTTTCATTTATACATTTATGGCTAATATATTTATTGCCTATCTCTGTATTCTAGTAAATAACCCTAAGTATATCTTATATTCTTGTATTTGATTATAATATTCAGCCGATGCTCTTAACCTCTGATCCATCTCTCCAGCCCCTGATTATAATATTCAAAAACATTTAACATTCCTATATATTTCTAGCAAAATATCCTCTTGTATAAAAACAACCCCCCTCAAAAACTGCAAAACCCCATTTCAGCCAACCAGACCCAGAAAGGATGACCTAGTGCACACTGAGAGAGCCATCATCTCTAAAATGAGACATCAACATCTAAAATGTCAAGAGAAGTGTTTTCTCTGGCAAGGGGTATACTCCCCAGATGTTCTCCTTAGCATTACTCTCCTGGTGGTCCTGTCAGAGTTGCTAGAAACAAGAATCTCTTAGCAGTGAATTCTCAATTCCCACACCCCAGGGAAACCAAAGGAGTCACCAGCTTGCACCAGCCACCTGGAATCTTAAGGCTGTTGTCTACACAGAACCAAAAGACTAACTTTGCATGGTCATAAGCACAGCCAAGAAAGGGCCAAATTAGATTCCCTGCATCTACATCAGGTGGTTCACAACAGCCTCAAACTCCAGTTCTGGAGATCCGATGCCCTCTGCAGGCCTCTACAGGCACTGCACTCACATGCACAAACCTTCCCATACAGCTATATACATACACATAATTTAAATTTTTAATTTAATTTTTAAAAACTCCTACTTCTGCCAGGTAGTGGTTTAATCCTTTAATTCCAGCATTCCAGAGGAAGAGGCAGGTGGATCTCTGAGCTTGCTAGAGGCCAGCCTGGTCAAAGATTGAGTTTGAGGGCAGCTAGGACAACACATAGAAACAAACAAAAAACAAAAAAACCCTCCTAGTTCTTACATATTTATATAAAACTCCTACTACACACATACACACACACAAAAAAAAAAAAAACCTAGTTAAAAATTTCTAGCTAACTAGTTAACAAATTATTTTTCTTTATATTGTAAGGGGAAGCTACTATTAAAAATAAGAGATGGGGCACACACCTTTAATCCCAGCACTCTGGAGGCAGAGGCAGGCAGATCTCTGTGAGTTCAAGGCCAGATTTTTCTATCGAGGGAATTCCAGGACAGCCAGAGGTACACAGAGAAACCCTGTCTTGAAAAAACAAGAGAGAGAAGGGGTGGGGGATTGGAAGAAGTTGCAGTCAAACAACTCAGAGTTATATTTCAAAGGTTTTATAGGGGCTGGGGTGATGGCTCCATGGGGAAAGTGCTTCTTGCAGAAGCATAAGGCCCAGCATTTAATCCTGGGCACCACATCAAAGCCAGGCATAGCAGGATATGACTGTGACCCCAGGGCTGGGAGGCAGGGACAAGCCTAGGGCTTTCTGCCCAGCCAACCGAGCTGAATCTGTGAGCTGCAGGATCAATGAAAGACTGTCTCCAAAAAACTAAGGTAGAAATGTCATTGTCCAGCCTCCATATGCATACAGGTGTACCAGCACACAAAACTGTGTACACACACACAAGGAAAGAAGGGTTTTATAAAGAAACACTTGGACACTTTATATTTAACCCCTTCCTTATACACATTTGTATTTGATCGGTATGGTATCAATATGAACTAAAACAAGAAGGAATTACAATCTGCATTTTACAGTTAAAGTCTCACTCACACAGCTTAAATGACGAAAGTCACACAAGGAGAAAATTTAATAATAAAAACTGAACACACAGTTTCTCCCCTTACCCACTGGATGAACTGGAGTTTAGAATCTGACACCCATCTTCCCACTGAAGAAATCTTCCACTCTGTAGTCCCGAATATAGGCTAACATTCAAATAGTTTTAAAACTCCTAAGACCTACAATATCAAAGTGTGCTATAATACTCCACAGTTAAGAACAGATTTCAGGAGACTGGCCTAAGTCCCATTTTACATGGGGCATTAACATTCACCATTGCTCTAGTAAGAACTATACCAAATCCTGCCAAAAAGAAAAAAAAATCCTGCTTGCATAAGGGCCATCCTTCCCGAGGCCCTACCCTGAGCAGAAGCAGCCATCCTTTTTAAAAGATGAAGTGAACACAGGTCCCAAAGCACCCCTCCTTCCTGATGCATGGTGGTCACTGATCTCATCAGTAGTCCTAAGGCCACAGAGATTACAGAACACTGTTTGCTCTCTGGAATCCTGGAAGGAGCTCATTACTCACACCTACTGCAAGCTGTTCTGACACATTAAATATGAGTAAGATATGGACAGATCAGAAGTACGTACAGCTGGACAGTGAACAGGTTTCATCTCTTCCTGAATCACACGAAAATCTGTCACCTTTATAGAGGACAGCATCCCAGCCATCATGTATAGTTCTATTTCCACAGTGACTTGAAATTTCTGTTTTAGTGTTTCAATCAAGTACTGGTTACATAAAGTTTGTAGATAATGCTCTAAAGGACCAACTGAATTGATCATGCTTGTCTGGTTCATGAATGGGTGGACGGATGCTCTCAATGCATAGCAAAGTGCCTACACATACCCAAAAGTCATTAACCATTTACACATGAATGGGTAGGTACTTCTGAAATTGCAAGTGGCTCTAAAGAAATAAAGTGGGTCATTATAAACCATGAAATGATCTCCCAAATCCATGACTTTCAGAAGTAATTACAGAATGATCTGGTCCAAAATTTTGTGAGCCATTTCTTTTTCTTCCTTCCTTTCTTTCTTTTCTTCCTTTCTTCCTTCCTTTCTTTTTCTTTTCTTTTTTTTTGTGTGTGAGCCATTTCTTATCACCTGTGACAGTTTTCACAATAATGTATCAGGTAACAGCTAGCACTCAAAAGCATGACAAGTATTTAAAATGAAATAAAGATGAAATGCATTAGTAAATGTATCATCCACTGCTTCCAAGTATTTGTTTAAATAATACAGTACTTACTTCCACAGTCATCTTGAATATCTACAGTAGCAAATGGCATGTCTGTCAGAGAATTCTCAGTGCTGATTTCTAATTCCCCTGACACCGTCTCTTCTCTTAGCACACTTTCACACTGATTGGAATTTATTTCTCCTACAACAAACCAGAAAAAGCAACAAATATTATTAAACTGTTGCTGTCAAACTACTACCCAGAAACCAAAACACCTCAGCTATGTGAACAATACATAGCAACCTGCATAAAGAGAGGTGGTGACCTGCTTTTTTAACACAGTCTTGTTTTTAAACGTGCATTTTTAGGAAGCTTTCCAAAGACTTAATCCTTTTCTAACACGCAGTGTTCAGTGGGGTTTTGACAACAAACCAATGAAGTGTGTTGTTTGTTCACTAGTTTGTTGTGTTCTTCTCATGTCTAATAATATGTGGGACTTTAAAAATGCTTCATTTAGTGTTGTTATATTAGCATATATTAATTATACATTACAGGTTTCATTGTGACATTTTCATATGAGAATGTGGTCTATTTTGATCATGGCTTCTCTCTCTCTAACACACACACACACACACACACACACACACACACACACACACACACACACAGACTTTACCCTCTTATCCCTTCTCACTCACATTTTGTGTTCTAATTTCTACAAGCTCCATAAACTCTTCCACTCCACCATTAAACTTAACACTGGAAATGTAGTTAAAAATACTTGACTCTGGGAGCCAATGAGATGGCTTAGTGGGTAAAGGCTCTGCCATGAAGGTCTGGCAACCTGCACTGGATTCCCATTACCCATGCAAAGGTAGAGAAAACCAATTTTTTTTTTAAGATTTATTTATTTATTATGTATACAACATTCTGCCTCCATATATGCTTGCATACCAGAAGAGGGCACCGTATCTCATTATAGATGGTTGTGAGCCACCATGTGGTTGCTGGGGAAAAAACCAATTCTAATCATTCCCTGACCTCCATACATAGGTCATGCATGCCCTCCCACATACACAAGAGATTTTAAATACATGGTTCTAAATATTCATTTCTTGAAATTCAGCTATGAGAATCAAATCGTCCTCACAGTATTTTGTAACAGCCCTCCCATGTCATACACTAAGTCACATTTCATATTTGGTCTTTGTTTTCTTGGTATGGGTGAAACACCCACAATGTCATGGTTAGAGGGCTAAGGAGAAGAAGACTTGAAGTGATAAAGTTAATTGCTAAGTTTACCTGTTGGTGGTCTCCCCGGTACCACTATTCACCATGCCTCAAGTAGTAGACATAAAAGATAACTTGGACTGAACAAAACCCTGGAATACTTACATAATTTTCACCCAGTGCAATCAATGAAAACTAACTTGCCCTGCAGACTATTAAAGAAAACATACATCCCTTTCTGTTGTAATCCTCTATATTTTCAAATGCAATAATTGCAAAACACATTCCATTAAGAATATGGTTTACATGGCTGGAGAGATGGCTCAGGGGTTAAGAGAACTGGCTGCTCTTACAGAAGACCTGGGTTCAGTTCCCAGCACCCACGTGGCTCACAGCAATCTGTTAATTCCAGTTGCAGAGGATCCAAGACCTTCTCCTGACCTCCGAAGGCACTGCAAACGTCTAGTACACAGACAGAACACACAGGCTAAACAGTCATACACACAAAATAAAACAATAAGTCTGAAGGGGGAGGAGGTGGTACCTTACAGGGCCAGAGAGAGGGCTCAAGTGCTTAACAGCACTTATTGCTCTTCCAGTGGACCAGGGTTCATTTCCCGGTGTTCAGCTCCAAGAACCCACATCTGGAAACTCACCCACTGCCTGTAACTCCAGTTCTGGAAATTTTACACTCTCTTCTAGCCTCTTTAGGCACCTGGATACTGTACCATACACACATTTAGGAGCTCTTGCGTGTGTGCATACATACATACATACACACACACACAATAAATTATATATATATAATATATATGGTACCAGGAAAGTAGTTCAGAAGTATAGTATCTCATATGAATAAGGCCCTAGTTTCAATCTCTAGCACCCCAAAAATTTAAATAAGTAAAACAAATACAAAAAAAAAAAGAATATGGCCTGCAATATTATCCAGGCCTGTGTCCTAGTGATTAGGAGACCCAGAAGGATGATCTCAATTCAAGTGTTTTCCACAGAATGAGTTCAATGCCAGCCTGGGCACCACTGGTCTTGACTTTTAAAACATATACTCTAGCTCCTCCACCTTCTCCTCCTCCAGGCAGACAATAAAATAGAAGATTGGGGATATAAGTCAGTGGTACAGTGCCTTCCTAGCAAAGTGTAAGGCCCCAGTACTTTTTTAAATGTATAATATCTATTTTACAATATAATAATTCTCATAATCGGTCATAGTTAATATGCATACTAAAAATACACATTTTATTACAATTTGAGTGATTTCTAAAATTATTCTCACACACCTGTTTTCTGGATTTTAAAAAAGGACAGTATCTTTTTCAGTCACGTTCACTATCAAAAAAACACTAAAAGTACATTCTTAATAATGCTATTTATACAATTCAGACTTTGAGAAGTATGATACGCTGTGATGGTTTGAATGAGATGGCCCCCATAGGCTCATACATTTCAATGCTTTGTCCCCATTTGGTAGAACTGTTTGGAAAAGATTAGGAAGTATGGCCTTTCTGGAGATGCGCCACCAAGAGTGGCCTTTGAGGTTTCAAAACTCATTCTCAATTAGGGTGCAGTCTCTTCTCTCTCTCTCTCTCTCTCTCTCTCTCTCTCTCTCTCCTTCCTCCTCTCCCTCCTTCCCTTCCTTCCTTCTCTTTACTTCCTTCCCTTCCTCCTCTCTCTCTCTCTGCCTCATAGTTGTTGTCAAAACATAGAAACTCTGGGTTACCGTTCCAGCACCAGGCATGCCGGCATGCCTGCCTGCCTGCCTGCCTGCCTGCCTGCTGCCCTGCTCCTTGAGGTGATCGTCATGGATTATTCACTCTCTGAAACCATAAGCAAGGCCCTCCAATTAAACATTTTCTTTTATAAGCTGCTTTGGTCATGACGTCTCCTTATAGCAATGGAAAACTAAACTAAGACAGAGTGTCTGGTACATATATATTCAACAAATTTTAGATGACTATAGGTCTACTCACCAGCTCAGAACACTTGAAAATCATGAGAATAAGTCAAATGTTAGCTTTCTGTGTCTATACTAGCATTCTGAAACCCAAGCGCAGTTTAAAAGTTTAAAGAGATCAATATGCATGTTGAATCTTGACAGGCAGCTCCATGTAGAGGAGCATCACCCAAAAGGCAACTTATACACAAAAAGCTTCTAACAAAAGAGCACTTGTAAGCCAGGGATGGGAGCACATACATGCCTCTAATCCTAGCACACAAAAGAATACTGAGTTCAAAGTCAGCCTGGGCTACAGACTAAGACTGTAACTCAAAATAACAATATCAACAATAAAGAAATCTTTAAAGTACTTATACAATTAAACATATTATCGATATACTACCCACAACAAACATGAAGAATTCATAGAAATCAGAATGAAAGAAGTAAACCCAACTATGATTCTCCTAATTTTTTCTCAATCTGATCATTTAATGATAGATATTCCAGTATGATACTAGCATGTCAATACTATTTCCTGAGTCTATGTGCCATGTGGAAAGTTCCTGACTCACAATGGCTTCAAGTACAACTTTTCAACCTCTCGATGGTGCAAAAGCTGGCTATTATTCCTACTACTGTGACTGGAGGAAACCTCTCAGAGCCAAGGAGGCAGGGCAAGAGGTGGGTTCAAGATCTCAGAGCCAAGGAGGCAGGGCATGGGATGGACAGAGTCTCTTGAGTCTGAGAAATACGGTCAGAATCTTGATACCTGTTCAACTTTCCTTCCTGACAGCTATTCAGGAAAGCAGTGAACATTAAATAGAAATATTCAAATTTGGGGGTTGTTCTCTTCCCAGACTGGGAAAATGAGATCACCCCCCCCCCCACGTAATGCGGAGTAAGCCCCAGCTTCCAGGTGGCCCCAGGATCTTGACATGAAAGAATCAATACTCTTAGAGTGGACTGTGTTGCTAAGCAATGATGTTCAGCAGGCTAGGTATATTTTAAGGCCTATTTTCCCCTTACAGGAAGCCTTGAACTAGGTTGTAAGTGCTAGGATTTGGGCAAAGGCTGAGGGATATAACTAAATACATCCACCACAACAATGCTTCCTCTTACACAAGGTGTAAAGACTTCACTTCAGAAAAACTGCTTTCAACCAGTTGATCCTTAAGCATGTAAACCATAAATTCATTGTTGTGACTGCTATGATGCTTCGATATGCTGGGCCTGGTAACATGGGTCTGTAACCCCAGGTATTTGGGGAGCTGAGACCAGACTGTACATTCAAAATCACCCTATATAAGTAACTTAGTGAGATTTTTGTCTCAAATTAAAAGTTAATAAAGTTTGGGATAGACCACCATAAGAGCCTTTGTTTGCCAGGTACCAGGCTGAGATTCAACTCTACAAAGTAAATAAATAAATTAAAGTCACCTAGGCCATGCATGTTGAGTCACACCTGCAATTCCAGCACATGTGAGCTACATGGCACAAAAAATTTTAGTCACCCAAAAATTTGTTCTGTCGTTAATTAAAACAAAATTTATCTTTTGCACAAATTCAAACAACCACAGGGGTAAATGTTACACTAATAACAAAAATGAATTGAAACTGGAAATTAGCATTACTAACACTAACCAACACGTAGGTACTTTATGCTGGGCACACTCAACTAGGAGCACTCTGGGAAATAATCACTTAATCCATACAACTATGTTATCAGTGAAGACTATCATTACGCCAACTAGACAATTTAGTCACTTGTCCATGAGCAAAGTAGATTCAAGAGCTGCCATCTGTATCAAGTGACTCTGGTACATGACCCACAATTTTCAGAATCAACTATGTATGCCCTGTACCATAAACCTTACAATGTATTGACTGCAGCACTGTAAACTGAGACAGATCTTTCAGAAAGCAATGTGCCAATAAATCATGACCAAGAAGATGGTCTAAGGTTCTTTCAAAAATGTGGGTTTCTATCATATACACTTAACACAACTCCTCACAACCT